CATTTGATAAGTTCTATAGTCACTGCTTTTGATTCATTAGGACTTGGCTCTGTGCAACCCCTCCAAGGCACTGCTGGGTCGACTGCTTCTGAATTAATAATAGCCATGCTTCCCACTTCCCATCAAGAGGACTGTTTCATCTTTTAAGAGCTTTACAAACCCCAACCAACTCTCCTGACACCCTGGTGAGACAGGGCCTATTGGGAGGGGGCAGCATGAGGTTATAAGATCTTGCTTCCAGTCTGGCTCTGACCCATACTGGCTGTGTGACCCTGGGGAAAATCCTACAATCTCTCAGAGCCTCAGATACTGTATGGTTGAATTGGCAAACCATAGAGTGAAAACTGGGAAGGGAGGCCAGAGCAGAGATGATAAATGAAATGGAGTAATGCAGATGAAAAGTTTAAAAAGATTGAGGCATAAGGAGAGATTAGCAGCTAGGTGGCACGGGGGATAGAGTTCTGGACTTGGAGTTGCTCAGTCATGTCTGACTCTTTGTGACCCCATTTGGGTTTTTCTTGGTAGAAATATTGGAGTGGTTTGACATTTCTTTCTCCAGCTCATTTTACAGATGAGGAAACTGAGGCCAACAGAGTGAAGTGTCACAAAGCTAGTAAGTGTCTGAGGCCGGATTTGAATTCATGAAAATGGATCTTTCTGACTCCAGGCCCAGCACTTTATCCACTGTACCACCTAGCTGTCTCAGTCAGGGGAGTCTATATAAATGCTAACTATTATTATTAACTGCTTCTATAAGGGTGAGAGGTTGCACTCAGAGACCCGAATGTCAGAATTCTTTATCATCTGGGTAGAACAGTTAGGGCTGAGGGCTGTGTTGATGGTACGTCCATCCCTGTGTGTGGATATGAGGCCAAGCCAAGGTGGAAGTCATGGAATTTTAGCAGGATGATGACCTGGGAAGTTGAAGTGTTTGAGGGGATGTTGACAAATGGATTAAAATGGGCAAGTCTGAGGACAGTGGTTAGTGCAGAGAGGAAGGCAATGAACCAGACACTGAACTCCTTGGAAAAGGTGGGAAGATGACCCGAAGGCCAGTAGATCATTGCAACAAGAAGAGGTTGCTAAATAGTGATGGCGAAGGGACAGTCTTGAATTGGGAGTGAGGAGCAAAGAATATGACTTCTCCTCCTTCTGGCTGAATGCTTCAAGGGGCATGAGATAAAGCACATCTTTATTCTCATCCCAATCAACTCAGCTCTACCCTATCATAGCCTATATCAGGGGTGGGGAACCTGCTGCCTGGAGGCCTCATGTGGCCCTCTAGGTCCTCAAGTGCAGCCCTTTGACTGTATCCAAACAAATGATTTGTTCTGTGAAGTTTGGATTCAGTCAAAGGGCTGCACTTGAGGACCTAAAGGGCCATGTGTGGCCTTGAGGCAGCAGGTTGCCCATTCCTGGCCTATATCCTTCTCTCCCCTTCCATTCCATTGTATCATCTCCAACCACCACACTATTGTTTAAGAAAAACAACAGTAAATGCACCTTTATTCTGGAGCTTTCCAATCTTTTTCCGTCTTCTTGTGCTAATGGAAGCTTGGATCTTCCAGCAGTATGTTCCTGGCCATCCTCTTCAGTCTCGAGTGTTCATTTTCTCTGGGTCTCAGTTTCCTTACTTGTCAAATGTGGGACTTGGATCAGTTGACCTCCAAGATCTCTTCCAGCTCTATAGCTACGATGCTCTGAGTTGTCCAAGGTCATATTGGTAGTGAGTGGCAGAGCCAGGATTCAAACACAGAAGCTCCAATCCCAAATCCAGGGTTCCTTCTACTATACTGTAGAACTATGAGGAGAGAAAAAGGAGACACCACTAAGTATTACGGGTGTAGTACAATAGAAAGAACAGTCAATTTGGAGTCAGAGGATGTAAATTCAAATCCCAGCTTAGCTGTTTATTGGCTGTGAGACCTTGTTTATTCTCTCTAGACCTCAGTTTCCCTATTTGTAAAATTATGGAGTTTGTCTAGATCAGAGGTTCCCAAACTTATTTGGCCTGCTGCCTCCTTTTAAAAAAAATTACTTAGTGCCCCCCTGGAAATCTACTTTCTTTAACCCTTTAACTTTGTTGAAATTTGCATCATTTAAAAAATATAAAATATATTTTTTAAAATGACACCTTAAATTTAATAATTTCTAAATTTGTGGGTGTTTTCCTTGCATTGAAATTTTGATGGTGCAATATCATGTTATGTAACCATATAGTATTCTATTGTAAACAAGTCATTACACGCATATATTCCTGCTGATGCATGCTGGACTTCCCTATAATGTGCAACACACTTGCCTGCCAACATTTGCTTGTTAAGACCTGTCAGCAGACTTAACCATTGATTGGTTATAACTTGCATGTTGTGTGTTCATTTGGAAAATAACATAATCCAACCACTTTAACTCTTAAACAACAGATGAAACTTATATGAATAGTTTTTCAAAATTTTCTTGTCTTCTCTTCTTTTCTTATGCTTCCACTGCCCCCTTATTTTTATTCAATGCCCCCTACCCAATTGCACCTGAGGCTACTACCACATGCTCCCTAGGAGATGATATGGTCTAGACGATCAATAAAATCTTTTGCGGCTCTGAATCCCGTAATCCTAGCAGGAACTAGCAGAATTTTTATGTTTTGATTCTAGAGTCTAAGCACACTGGCCCTACTGTTCCTCACACACCACTTTCCATCTCCTGTCTCCATGTCTTTGTATTGGTTCTCCTTCATGCATCCTCATTCACAACTCTTGGAATTCCTGGCTATCTTCCTCAGTTTGAGTGCCATCCTACTCTCTTCTCATGCTAATCCCCGCCTCCATTTCCCCATGTACCTATTTTGTATGTATCTTCTCTGTGTACCTAGATATGACAACACTGTCTCCCCCAAAAGAATGCTAAGTTCCTTGAAGGCAGTGAATGTATTCTCAATACCTAGCACCATGCCTGACACACAGGAAATACTTAGTGAATCTTTATTGATTGATTGATACTGTCTTTCTGGCAGAATGTAACCTTGAGGGAAGAAAGTGTTTTCATTTTGTCATTCTAGGCCTCAACACGTAGTGAGTGCCTGGAACATAGTAGGTGTTTAATAAATGATTGTGCTTGGGTGTTTTTTCTACTTTTTACATTGTTGAATTCTTTCCCTCATACACAAATCTTCTTCTCCTTCCTGAACACTGTGAATAGGTTTAGGAATGGAAAGTGGGGCTGGTGGCTTTGGGATCTTCCAAAAGAGCTATAGCTTCCATTTATCCCTGTATATCATCTTCATCTTAACAAATTATTGTAACGAAATTGAAAAGAGAAGAGACAGAGACAGAAAGAGAGATGAAGATAGACACAGACAGAGACAGAGACACACACAGAGGCAGAAAGAGAGCGTATATAAGCCCCTAATTATGTTGTAACTAATGAGGAGAATATGAAGGGTTAATGGAAGTTGGAGATTACTGCTCCTGAATTACTGGGGAGAAATGGGAAATGACTGATCATTTGCCTTAACCAACCTGCCAGTGTTTATTGATTTTTAAAATTAATTAATTCAACCAATAATCAGACTTCCCATAAGACACTTAGCCTCTGGTCATGCTTGCATAATTATAGATGCTTCTGAAAGAAATTCTGACTAAGTAATAAGTTGTTGGTCTCTGTCCAGATTCCAGAATACCTTAATAACTGATGGTGGTGATGGTAATTGGCATGTATATAATTCCTTACAGTTTGTAAAGTGCTTTATGTATGCATTACCTTATTAAAACCTCACGGCAATCCTGGGAGATAGTAGCTCCAAGTATTATTATCTTCTTTTTACAAATGATGAAACTGAGGCTCAAAGAGACTTGCCCATGGTCACAGAGCTTATGAGTATCAGAGGCAGGGATAGATCCCCTGACTGCAAGGACACTCTATTAGCCACAGCTGATAGTCATTGGTCCTCCCAATCTATTCCTTTGGGCAGGTTTCTAGTGATAGAAAGACGACCCAAGAAGTCCTGAAATTTTTGGTTCAGCATTTGTGCAAATCCTGTGCAGTGATTTGAAAAATTAGTAATATTCATTTCTATTGTAGCTGCATGACTAATGTAGCTAGGGTGCTGAACTGACTTAGGAATATTTGAGTTCAAGTTCTGCCCAAGACGTTTACTAGCTCTATGATTCTAAACAAGTAACTTAATTTCTCTACCCCTCAATTTCCTCATCTGTAAAATGGAGATGTTAGAAACACCTGTTTCCCAGAGTTGTTGTGAGGACCAAATGACATAACATAGGTAAAGTACTTTCCAAACCTTAGTGTGTCCTGTGAATGCTAGTGACTATTATTAGTAGTGTTTTTCAGATATGCAAAATGTGCTCCTCACAATAGATGTCTGAGGCTGGTGGTACAAATATCATTACTCCCATTTTATGGTGAAGAAACTGAGGCTCTAAGAGTTTAAATGAATTGACTGCCACCACATAGCTAATAAGTGTCTAAATTTGGACTCAACCCGGGTCTCCTGACTCCCATGCAAGAGCTCTGTCCTCTAAATCACTGGGGCTTGGCCCTGAGGGTTTTTTCTAATGCAATAATAATGGGTCAGATTCTTGGGGATGGCTGTTCTTTATAATGGTTGACCTAGCAGATGAAGGACTAGGTTCCAGATCCAGAAAACTAGGGTCCAAATCCAGTCTGTGTGACCATGGGCTAGTCACTTCAAGCCTTTCTTTCATCTATAAAATGGGCAGAATAAATAGCTGCCTCCCTTTTCCATCACAGGGTAGCTGGACCTAGGAGCAAAAGCCCTGAGCTAAGAGAACAGATCTGCTTACCTCACTCTTTCGTTCATTTATTGTATGTTAAATCTATCGACCTCAGTGCTTGCATGAAAAAATGGGTTCAAGAATTTGTACTCTTGCTGGCCTCACAGGACTGTGAGAAGGCTGAGTGAGAGGAGAGAAGACAAGAGGAAATAATTTCCATCTGGTGACACATACCTGTTTTCCTCCCCACAGCTCAGAAATGATCTATACCTGCAGCCTGCAGTCCCCCAGAAAGCCTTTGGTCAGTTCCGACTTTTAGAAGAGAGGTCTCAGACGTCCCAGGCCCATGTACCTGCTCTGAACCCACATCCTCACCACTGGAGCCTTGCAGTAAGTCTCTTCTTTTCTTTTGGCTTTATTTCTCTCTTGGTGATCCCTCTCAGAGGCATCAACTGGATGGAACCCATGCCTGAGAGCTATGTCTGTCCACTTTTGGGATGGATTTCTTGTGTATGTGATGTTAGATGTGAACTCTCCCTGGAACTGGCATGCTAACCTGGAATCGGGAAGCTCTAGGTACAAATGCCACCTCAGACACTGACTAACTGTGTAACCCTGGGCAAGTCACTTAACCTCTACCACCCTCAGTTTCCTCATCTGTAAAATGGAAGACTTGGACTCGATGACCTCTTGGGTCTCAATCTGTGATCTTGTGACAGTGTCTTGATCATGTAAAGCTTAGAAACTGGTTGTATTTCTTTTCCTAATTGGGGATCTCATGCTCAGTAATATTGGTGTATGTGTAAAAATGTTTTCTAGCCCAGGGTCCCCAACCTAGCAGGGTTTGAAAGCCTCATACATGTTGTCACAAGAAAGGTAGGGGTTCCCCCAGATAGCAGTGAGGGTACATAGCCATTACCCTGGGCAAGAAATCCCACCATTTGGACTTTTCCAGGTTGGAGGAAGTAGCTGCAGGGACCCATGCCCCTCCAAATTGTCCATTGACCTGGATTTCTGGGAGAAAGAGGAATCTTTCTGTTTTGTTTATGGGTTACTCCTGCCCTCCATTTTCAGGTGCCTGTTTTCCTTGGGCGAGACAATTGCAAGTAGATGATTTATATGATTTCCTCTCTATGTGAAGAGGGCTATGCTTAATTTCACTAGAGCCTGGCCTAGGGCAGTTTTCCTTAATGCAAAAAAGTGGACCATATTCAGAGATTCATGGACAGAAGTCCAATAAAACCCTAGTTGGTGTGGTAGATAAAGTGCTAAACTAAGAGTCAGGAAAACATGGATTCTAATCCTGCCTCTGATACTAGCCTGTATGATCAAGGGCAAGTCGCTTTAATCTCTCCAAGCCTCAGTTTTCCCATCTGTAAACTGGGGATAATAACTATTGAACGTCACATGAGATCTAATGTGTGAAATTCTTTTCAAATCTTAAATCCTTACATAAATATCAGCTATTATTTTTATTATTTGCATGCATAGGCCCTGTAAGTGCTGCATGAACTAGCTATCAGGGTCAAGGTATAAAATTCCCTGGATGCTTGTTTATTTTCTCTGAGAAGAGCAAGAAAGAATGTGTTTGATCCAGCTATGAAAAAATATAATTTGTAAAAGTCTCATTAGGCAGGGTCTTTGGAGGACAGCTTCTAGGAAGACCTTTTAAAAATTGTATCATCATCATCATCGCTGCCCTCTTCCTCCTCCATCATCATCATGCCCACCAGCATTATCATTATCATCATTGATATAATTAAATTGAGCATCATACTAGCTACTTCTGGGCATCTGCAATGATGAAATGCTTCCTCAGAATGGCCCTCAGCCCTACAAGGTCTGTCATTAACAGAGCTTTCATGGAAGAGGTTTATAAAAAGAGGAATTGCCAAGAAATCTAATGAGACTTTAGGCTACAGAAAGAAAAGCAGAACACTCCAGAATATAGATATGTTGGTCCTGCCCTGGGCAGAGCACATCTGGAGTATTGAATTCAATTCTGAATGCCACACTTCAGGAAAGACATTGACAAGTAGGGAAATGTGCGCAAGAAGACAACCAAGATAGTATTAACATTTTAAAAATAAATTATAATAATAGTATAATTCACATTTCTGTGAAGCTTTAAATATAACAAAAGCACTTTGTATGCATTGTTTTCTTTGATCTCATATGTCTTACAACAACCTTATTTAGTTAAAAAAAAAGGGGGACTTGAGTTCATGTTAAAGGATAAACAATTGAAGAAAATATGAACGCTCAGCCCAGAGAAGAGAAGAAATAATTGTAGGTTTTTTAGTATATTTGAAGGATTATCAAAAGGCAGAAAGGTGAAGATTTGTTCTATTTGGCTCCAGAAGGCAGAATCAGGGGCAGATTTTTATCCAGGTAAGAAAATCCTTCTAACAATGAGAGCTGGCCAAAAGTAGAATGAGGCATCTCTGGAGGTGATGAGCTGACCTTCCCTGAAGGCCTGGATGCTGGCTGTTTTGCTGATGGGATTCTTTTTCCTGGTTTGGTACGGTTTCATATGATACTCTGGAATAGAAGGCTGCCTTTGTCTCTTTTTTTAATCTGAAATCCTGTGATTCTGTGAATGTAGAGGAAAGGAAGGTCGTTCTTTCAACACCAACTTACATAGCCTAGAAGCTTCTCTCTCCTCTCTCTGGGTCACAGGCAGGTTATACAGAGAATGTATTATCCACTTTTGTTTTTTGGCCTATGTCACTGAATGTCTAATTGAGACCTGGTTCTGTTCTCATTTTGAAAGCATCAGAGAGCCTTGATGAGTGCATGTGAGTTCTTCCTAAATTTGGAATTGGCCAATCTAATTTTTTGATAAAAATGTTGGCTGTGTTGAACTGCAGATGCATCATTAAAAGTTTATTTTTTTTTTCTCATTTAAATTTAGCTTCTCATGTCTCAGGGTAGAAATATTGAATGATTCTTGTATAGGGGGTGGTGGAGAGAGCCCAGTACGTGACTTTCCAAATTGGGAGGCAGACTAATTACTCCTGGAGGTGGTTAGAGGTTTAATTAGGGGTTGAGGTGGGGGGCAGACAGAAGCGTATTTCACAGAGTTTCCTCAGTTTGTCAGAGAGAAATTTGTCTTTATCACCACTTCATATGAGGATTGGTTGAAGGAAATGGGTATGGTTAGCCTGGAGAAGGAAAGACTTGGGGCAGACATGATAGTGATGTTCAAATATCTGAAGGGCTGTCCTGTGGAGAAGGCACTAGACATTGTGATTTGGCTTCAGGGGCCTGGGGGCTGCAAAGAGGCATATTCGACTTGATGTCAGGACAAACTTCCTAACGATTAGAGCTATCCAAAGGGTAGTGGGCTGCTTGGGAGTGGGAGTAGGCTCCTTTTCCTTATTTGGTTTTCAAGCATTGTGTGGGTGATTACTTATCTGTCAGCTGTGGTCTGGAGGGGATTCCATTCATGTATGGATTGGGCGAGCTTTAAATATTACTTTTGACTCTCAAATTCTGAGATTCGAAGGATTTCATTGCAGCTCAGTTCCTGGCATAGAGTAGGTGCTTAATAAATGTTTACTGGGCGATTGATTGATTGATCATTGACACAGGGCAGAGGGGCCAAAAATCACTCCACTGTGCTGCCAGAACCAGATTAAAATGTAATTAGGCAACAATTACCAAAATAAAAAAAAACAGCAGAACATAGATAACATTAACATGTATTTTTCAAAGTCAATATGCAGCCTGAAGGGATCCTTTTATGTGGTTTATTGGCCTATGTTTCTACTTGAGTTTGACACCGCTGATAAATAGGACATTCCTGGTGAAGAAACTGCTTCTGCCAATGCCAGTTGGCAACTGCTCTGTAACTTCCTTTCTTAGAGAGATGTCTGGGACACCAAGAGATAAGTGACTTACCCAGGGTCACACAGACAGTATGTAGGAAAGGCAAGATTTGAACCCCACTTTTCCCATCACCCAGTAAATACATACAAAGTATATGCAAAGCAATTTCACCATTGCAGAGAGCTCCAACAGCTTCAGGGATCAGCTGGATGACAGCTCCTGAGAGTTGAAGGAAGCTAGAGATTCTGAGACAATGCTACAGTGGATACAGTAGGTCGTTGGTTTTGGAGTCAAAGGCTCCGATTTGAAATCCTGATTATGTGACCTTGGGCAAGTCACTTAATCTCCTCTGTAAAATGAGAGGGTTGAATTAGGTGGTCTCTGGATCCCTTCCAGCTTTAGATTCATGTTCCTTTGATTCTAGAAGGCATTGCAGATACGTGCAAGGTGATGGATTGGGTGTGAAGAGCAATAGCAAATAACTCCACTATCTGTGAATTACAGACTATTAGAACTAGAAGAACCCTTAGAGATGGTCTCATCCATTTTGCACTTGTGAAAATTGATATCCCAAAGGGCAAGGGTCTTGCCCCATTTCCCACATCAAGGGAATAAGTGGCAAGACTGGAATCTGACCTGTGGCATTCCAAGTTCAAGTCCAGTGGAGCACCTGCAAAGTGTCTTGGGTTCCTTGGAGGGCATCTTGCATCTAATTAAGAAGTATTTCCAGAGAAGAAGCTGTCCAAACCCTTCTGTGTTGTGGGTGGGAGGCAGCCACACCGCCATCGTCCTGGCTGGGGCATCCGTTCTGAATTTGTTCTCAGGCTGGCCTAGGTCACTGTGTGAATGACTCCTTGGCTGCCCAGGAAGATTGTCTTTTAGAATCAAACTTGGAGAGGCATTATCAGATAAGGTCTTTGCTTTTCTCCAAGCAGGTTGGAGGGATCGGTATCTGTCTATACCTCAGGACTGACTGTCTCAACATAATGTTATTTCTAGAGGAAATATTCTCTGAAAGCAGCCCCTGGTGCCATCATTCTTCATCATTAGAGCAATTAAGGATTTTAAATTCCCTTTACTTTAAAAAAAATGGAGAGAGAAATCAAAGCAGGACAGGCTTTCTTGTTCTCCCACTCAGAACGCACACAGTAATCCATCAAAATTTGCCATTTATTCTTGATATGCATGATTCTTTGATGCTGTCCTAGGTCTTGTCTATACTATGCCAGCCAAGAAAAATACAAGGCTTTAGTTATTTTAATTTCATGGCCAAATATAGATCTGGCAGCAGGAGCAGTGAAAACTGCTCAGGAGGTCTTGAAATCTGTTCTCATAGTATCATGCTTGGTCTCAGCTTTGCCACTGATTTACTGGGTGTTCTTGCTAATTCACTTCCTCTCTCTCACCCCTAGTTTCTTCATCTGTAATAGAGAGGCCTTATAGAAAAATAGAAAGTGCACACATTAACTCCAGAGTCAAGGATCTGGGTTCAAATCCTGCTTCTGACATGAACTACTTTTGTGAACTTAGTCAAGTAACTCAGCCACCCTCAGCCTCAG